CCCATTGCAGCAGGGGCAAAATCCAGGTTCCTTGGACTCTTTCCCTGGTCTTTTCTGCTGCGAATTGGCCTGTTCTTTTTTGCCCAGCTAGCTCAGTGGGTAGGCATGGGACTCTAAATCTCAGGGTCGTGGGTTCATGCCCCATGTTGGGCGCCATATGTCAGGGTAATCCAGCCCCTAACACATCATCACGGGTCTGGTAGGTGCAATTGTACAGCGATAATAACTAAAGATTGTAGTAAATCCATAAAGAGTATGAGAGATAGAGGAGAGAATGAAATAATGGAGTCAGACACATTTCATGGTAGCAATGCTCACCTCAGCCTCACTTGGTGGTCCACATGTAGAGAGAGAGGGAAGGGAAGGAGGACAAGGGAAAAGGGAACAGGGGAGTGAGGATGGGAGAGGAGAGGGGGAATCGATGAGGGGTCAAGAGGGGAGCCCAAGAGAGAGCTCTTTATGGCTAGCCCAGGCCTATATACCTTTAGGGGGAGTGCAAGCCCACTAATTACAGGTAAAGACATACGTCACAGGAAGGTGTTGCACTATAGGTAATACAGCAATGAGAGGGGGACAATCTAGGGATATACATGCAATAGGAAGAGGAGCTATTGGGGGTACACGTGACAAGATGGGCGGATCCTAGATTCAGGATGGCAGCCTAACTTTGGAAGTCGCCGAGCCAGCCGGTTTGACCTGTTCTCTGGATCTCCATAGAATCTATTATCAGTAGGCTGTAAACCCCACCTATAGGGACCAAGCTAATGGTTGCAAGCCTTTAGGGAGAAGTAGCCCATTGTCCTTAGCAGCAGGGAGTGGGCTCTACCAGTCCAGACAGTTGTCTGGCAATGGACTGCCTTCAGGGAGGTAACTTGACAATCATTTACCATTAGGTGCAAGAAGTGTCCTAAGTCTAACATATATTTGGGGTAGACCATTTGGGAGAAATCTTTCTGTTTCCCACATGTCACCCTCTACCTGGAGTCAGAATGGGTCTGTTTCTTAAAAATAAACACTGTTTGTCAGTTCAGATTGTGTTTTCTTTAAGAATAATTAGACTGTAGCCAAAATTACTCTTCTTAATATAGTTAGTGTGAGGTGCATTACTTAATGCAGTCTCAGTGGAAATTTTTTAACTCAATATATGCGCAGAGGCAAACAGGGTGGACGCAGATGTCATCTGGAAGGGTCAGGTAAGTCTTTTCTTATTTGTCTGATTGTGAGTGATCACAAGGTTGGGTCGTGCTATCTGGTTAGTCAACAGAGACATCCGAAGACTGGCCTAAAACATTAAGGATCCTCTTGCTCTGTTTCATTGTTCATGGTTAACATTTGTACCCCATGGTTATCTTGAAACCTGAGTTAATGTAAAACATTTGCACATCATTCCTCAGAGTGTGAGTTTCAAAATAAAAAGTGTATAGTATGTTCTTTAAGTGTTCTGATTTCAAATGGACACCATCAAGGTGTCAGCCTCCTTACTGAGTCCACCTTCTAATGAGCATTCTCTGTCTCCCTCTGACTTGGAGTGAGTGGGTTGGCTTTGCTGCTCCAGGGTAAAAGGAGAACCAGCTCCTTGTTGGTAGTAACAGGATGACCCTGAAAATAATAATAAATAAACAGTAATTACCTGTAACCAGTGAGGTTGCACTCAGGGGAAATAATGGTTAATATTTTGTCATCGTTTTCCAACATCATCTACATACCTACTTGCATGTATACACACCTCATAAGTTTATCATGAAAACATTTTAAAATAAAATTGGAATCATAGTAAGTAAAGGATTTGGTGTTCTACATTTTTCTACTAATCACACTAGAAATATTTGCATCATTAAATATTCTTCAAAAAATACGATGTCTAGGGGTGGCATCAGTGCTATCAACAAATCAGGAATTATTTATATTTTTTTCTGTGGTTGGACAGTTAGGTTCTTACAGTATTTTGTTATCATGAGTAATGTTGAGGCTAATAGCCTTACACACACCTCTTTTACTATATTCCAAATTATCTTCTTAGACTCAATTTATAGAAATAGATGTGTTAGGTCAAAGGAGCTGGAAAAAGAATTAAATATATTTTATCGTGTTTCAGATGAAAATTTACACAGTGAATCCGTTTCCCAGGTAACAGTTTTTATACCGCAAATTCTGTGACTCCGGGACAATGCTCCCAGTGTTGCACATTGTCGGAATTTCTTGTTTGTTCTGTTTCCAATGATCTAGCTTCCCTGCCTTTCTCTGCCTTCTCCTCATTGCTTTTGAGTGAATTTTGACGTTCAGCCTTATAGTGGATTGCCTAAGGGAGCACATTCCTCAAGGGGACATGATTTACTTTACAAGCCAGTGTATTATTCGTCTGGGAGTCGTTTCAGTGCCTAGTAAAAAGGATACCTTAGGGTGTTAGTCTTAAGTGTTCCTCCAGGCTCTTTCAGTCCAGGAAGTCTGGTCTTTTTCAGAAATCTGAATTTTATTCAACGTGTTTCTCTCATTCTGTCCAAGACCTTCCAGTATGTTTTCTGATCCGAATGGTCAATAGGGGCA